GTTTCTAGGGAGAGTATCCTTCCTTCTAGAGATAAATCCATCTCTGTCACAGTGGAGGCACACATGGACCTGAATACAAGAGACGTTACTGTTCTATTGTCTGTCTCTACCTCTTGATTATTCCCAAATTAACGAATTAATTAGTGCAGTTCTGGGGATTGAGCACAGGGTCTCATGCATGTTAGGCAAGTAGTCTAACCATTTAGCTATACTCCCTGTCCTCATTCCAAATGTGTTGAGAATTATCTTATAAACATAAACTAGCTAGAGTCTAAAAGTTGAGCATATTTGGATTAGTTGGCCTATTTTCTGAGACTTAACATATTTCTATTTACATGTTCCTAAGTAGAAAATGTATCTTTAAAGCTGCTGGCAGATTTCCCAAGGTGATAATTATGTAGGCATTTGTAATACCAGGGTGATCTGGCATGCTTTTAGCTGGTAGTTACAGCAGTGCTTCTGCAGGTACCCACTCCTGACTATTGCCACCTGAACCCTACACTAATCACTTAGGATGGTAATGGCTGTGACATTGCTTGAAACTGTCCATAGAAGGCTCGGAGAGTTAGGCAAGCAGTGTCTCATTATAAATATCTATATGTGCTTTCATTTTGAGGTAGTTGTACAAAGGGCATCTGGAAAAGTAAAGCATAGAAGCATAAGGCTCTGTTCAGAAACTGCTTACTCTTCTACCCTTTGCTGATTGATTGCCTCTAAAAGCAGTGCTTAAGCTGGACAGCCGTGAGAGCTGCGGTGAATCAGCAGGGTGAAACACATGGTGGTAGAGTTAGAAGTATTCTGGGTAAGAGTTGCTTTTCATCTGTGTAGCTTTGGGTTGTGCCATTTGTATTGACTTGATAGACTTTTGTGGAAGGGCACTTGTTAGGTATTAAGTGAACATGAAAAGAAAGGCTGTCATGTTTCCACCATCAAGGAACTTGAGAGTTTGAATGGCATGTACTCAGGTATATGTAGTGTGCTTAGTGTCATGGTTTTGCAAAAGGGAAAAAGCTGACACTGACAGAGTGTGAAGTTAGCTCATTCTGCTCCAAGAATCTTCCTATAAAAGTGCTGGACATGGTGAAAGTTATATGAAGTCTTTAGAAAGTTTGCAGTTCATTAGGAAGCTTTCCTTTAAAAAAAAATTAATCCATTATATTTTATGTGTATAAGTGTTTTCTCTACATGTAGAAGAGAGCATCAGATGCCCTGGAACTGGAGTTACAGACAGTTGTTAGCTGCCGTGTGGGTCCTGGGAACCAAACCCAAGTCTTTTAGCTAATTACTATTTTTAAAAAGTATTTATTATTTTTATGTGTATGAGTGTATTGCCTACATGTGTGTAAGTGCACACATGTTGTGCAATGCTTGTGGAGGTCAGAAGAGGGTGTCAGATTGCGTAGAACTGGAGTTACAGGCAGTTGTTAACCTCTATGTGGGTGCTGGGAACCAATCCCAGGTCTTCTCCAAGAGCAACCAGTGCTCTTAACTGCTGAGTCACTGCTCCAGCTCCCTAATTACTATTTTTCAAAGAACATATTATCTCATTAAATACTAAATATTTTGTTCATATTGTCATAGAAAAGTTAGGGTTTTGTTGTTGTTTTTGGCTGAGGTGTATTTTCTGGAACATACTCTTGCTTTTGATATGATAATCCATTGTTAAGGTTCACTGAGTGCTGGAACTGGAAAAGACCCAAGAGGGCAATTACTCTTAATAGCTCTTTTCACAGACAAGAAGACCAAGATTCAGATTAAGTACCTGCATAACTAGAGAATATTTTTTGGCAGCAAGTAGTGTATAACCTGCCAGTATTGCTATATTTATAAATGCAAAACTTTTTGTTTTAATGGAGAATGATTAGATAATAGAAATAATTTTTTTCTTTTTTCTTTTCTGTTTTAAGAGGCACAGTTGAGTGCCATTGATGATCTGATTGATTCTATGAGCCTGGTAAAGAAAGATGAGGAAGAAGATACCTTCGAAGACTTGTTTCCAACCACCAAAATCCCAAATCCTGAATTTCAGAGATTATTCCATGTAAGAAAAGTTTTATTTTTCTTTTTAATGTTTTATTTCTTTTTAATGAAAGGAAGCTAAGTGAAGAGTTGTGGTCCCAAAAGATGTTTTATCCTTTGAGGGCCTCATTTGCTGTTTAATGGAAGAATAGAAGTTTTTTCTACTTACTTGAAAAGAGAAAAATATTCTAAGCTTTTAGAAAGAAGGAAAGTTGGAGTCCCCCACCCCACGAATGCACACCACTGGAAGTCTGGTTTAGATCATACCATGGGGCTTAATAAAAATGGATTCTTTTTTATGCTCTTTTGTATTTTATGTGAAGTTTTTAATCTTCTAATGAAGTATCAAAATAGCAGAGATATTTACCACTAATAGGGAAAGAGTTGTTCCAATGCACATTTGTCAAAAGTTTCATAATTAAAGGTAGGATAGAGGTCAGACCCTTTTACTCTGAAATGACTTAGAATAACTAAAATATAGGAGAGTAGAGAATATGTGTTTGGGAATCTTAGACTAACTTAGAATAACTTAGAGGTGGAGATTGACTAAGGGAAATTGGGGGAGCTGATAAGAAAGCTGATTTTTGCCAAGGCAGGAGAGAGACAAGCCAGTATTGACGGGAAAGAATATTCTAGTCCTGGGTTAAGATGATGAAAGCAGGACACAGGCTTCTCTGACCCCAACAAAACTGAAGACTGTCAGAGGTCGCTCTTAGCTGAGTGGGCAAGTGAACTGTGAAAGGCCACAAGTTGTCTCTTCTGAGTCACTCCACAAGACGTTCTTAACCAATTCAAGCCCATCTTTGAGCCTGTTATGGCTCAAGGGAACTGCGTCTTTTGTCATTGTTTTTTGTTATTGTTGTTTTTTTTTTTTTTTTTGGTCTTTTGAGACAGGGTCTCCCTGTCGCCCCAGCTGGCCTGAAACTCACTATGTAGACCAGGCTGGCCTTGAACTCACAGAGATCTGCCTGCCTCTCCCTCCCAAGTGCTGAGATTAAAGACATGCGCCACCACACCTGGCCTGTTTTCATTTTTTAATTTGAGTTTTGCTTGGTATGCCTTTAAGTATTGAAAAAAATCTTTCGTTCTAAAATTAGAAGCATGAAGTTTAATTTGTGAAGACTTGCCTCAGTGAATACTTTAGTGCTCTAAGTGTAATGAAGTATAAATTACTGTTTAAAAAGTAAATCCTTTGGTGGTTTTACAAGTGGACTTGAAGACCTGAGGCTGTGCTATCAGTGAGGGAAGAGCAGAGTAATGGGAAGCTTTCCAGAGGAAACGCCTACAACTTGGCAGATTTGTCTGGAGTGGGCTCTGTGTATGTTCATTAATCTTTGTTGGAATAATGAGTAGATATAAGCCACAAACACAGGCATTTTTTATCTTTCAAAGCTGTGAGCACTGATAACTGATTTTTATATTATAAACAACTGCTTTCTTTTGTAGGGAGCTTTAATGGCTTGTCTGTATGAAGAATAAATACAGATTATGTATCTTTACCAGCACATGCATAAACTGAATCCATCCATCCTTCTTTCCTTCTTTTTTTATTGAATTTTTGCAAATTTCTTAAAATATATTTTGATCATATTTGGATCCCCTCAGTATCTGCATCCCCTTACTCCCCCGACTATATTATCTGTCTGTCTATTGTCTATCTATCATCTTTCTATCATCTATCTATCTATCTATCTATCTATCTATCTATCTATCTATCTATCTATCTATCTATCTATCTATCTATCTATCTATCTATCTATCTATCTATCTATCTATCTATCTATCTATCTATCTATCTATCTATCTATCTATCTATCTATCTATCTATCTATCTATCTATCTATCTATCTATCTATCTATCTATCTATCTATCTATCTATCTATCTATCTATCTATCTATCTATCTATCTATCTATCTATCTATCTATCTATCTATCTATCTATCTATCTATCTATCTATCTATCTATCTATCTATCTATCTATCTATCTATCTATCTATCTATCTATCTATCTATCTATCTATCATCTATCATATCTATCTATCTATCAATCAATCAATCAATCAATCAATCAATCAATCAATCAATCATCTATCATCTCTCCCTCCATAGAGTCAGGTTTGGTTCCCCAATTACCCTTTGATGTATGTTCTTCCACTGGGGCCAACCTACCAAGAGTTTCACATTTAAATGAGACTGACTGTCCCTCCCTGCAGCCATTGGTCACCAATACTTCCTCAGGTAGGGTTGAGGCTCCTTACCTGCTTCCCCACATCTGTGCTGGGATTTTGTCTCCACCTCCACCTCACCCTCTCTTCTTTTTCTTTCCTCCCTCCCTCCCTCCCTCCCTCCCTCCCTCTCTCCCTCCCTTCCTCCCTTCCTTTCATCCTCCCTTCCTTTCTTGGTCTCTCCCCCCTCACTGTGTTCCTCACTCCAGGATGGCCTGGAACTTGAGCTCAAGTGATCTTCCGACCTCAACTTCCTGAATAATCTGGACTACCACAAATATGACCAACCAAAATTAAAACAAAATGAAATAAATATTTTTATTTTTTTTAATTTAAAAATTTATTTATTTTAATTTTATGTGCATGAGTATATTGCCTGCATGTATGTAAGTGCACCTATGTTGTACAGTGCCCAAGGAAGACTGAAGAAGGTGTTGGATCCCCTGGAACTGGAATTAGAACTATTGTTAGCTGACATGTGGGTGCTGGGATTTAAACCCTGGTCTTCTGCAGCTCTTAACCACTGAGCCGTCTCTCTAACCCTGAGATAAATAATTTTAAAAGATCTATAGCAAACATTGGTATTGAAACAACAATAATAAAAATAATAAATTTCTCAACCCCCCAAAAAAGTCTAGGCCCAGATGGAGAAACTGTTTAATTCCATAAAATCTTTAAAGAAGAACACCAATGCTTCTCAAACCCTTCCCATAAAATAGGAAAGGAGGGAATACTACCTAACTCTTTACAAAGCCAGTATTAACCTGATACTAAAACCAGATAAAGATACAAGTAAAAAGGAAAATTATAGACCAGTCTACTTGATGAACATAAATGCAGATTCTTCTTTTTGGGGGGGATCTTTTTGAGACAGGTCTCCCTGTAGCCTCAGCTGGTCTGGAACTCACTATGTAGACCAGGCTGACCTTGAACTCACTGAGATCCACCTGCCTTTGCCTCCATCCATAACTGTAGTTCCAGGGAATCCAATGCCCTTTTCTGGCCTCTGTGGGCATTGCTGACATGGGTGTACTTACGTACATGTAGGCAAAAGACTCATACCCATAAAATAATCAAAATAAATAAATAAAAGTTGCTAAAAGATTATTCACCACCAAGTTGTCTTTACCCCAGAGATGCAGGAATGGTTCGACATATGCAAATCAATAAATGTAATGTATCACATGAGCAGTGGACAGTCTGCCTTGCCCTTGATTCTAGCCCCAATCTTGGTGCATCTCTGTCAACAGTGAGAGCTCTGGGAAAGACCACTTTATACCCATAGTCAGTATCTACTAGATGCTTATTGTATGCCAGGTATAATTTTCTGTGCTTAGAACTCAACAGTAAGCAAGACAAGATTTCTTTTTTATTGGGGGGGGCTAGATAATAAACAATTAAGCTAAATGATTGTTTTAAATGATAAATGCTTTAAAATACAAAGGAGATGATAGACTGACTAGTTAGTAGCTTGGAAGTGGAGGGTTTGCTTCCTATGCATTGTCAAGGAAAGCCTCTTTGAGGAGATATTTGAGCAAAGACCAGAATGATAGGAAAGGGCCAACTCTGCCAAGAACAAGGAGGAAGCCGAAGAGGCAGAGGAAATATTAGCTCAGGACCCTAAGGCAGGAATGAGCTTGGCATGAGTGAACCTTGAAGAGCCCAGTTTTACTGGGCTGTAAATGAGGTTGCAGATGACAGTGTCAGAACCAGGGAATCAGGCAGGGGCTGTGTCATGCAGGGCTTCCTGGGATATGGCAAGGAACTTGTATTAGTTATTCTTGTGTTTCTGTAACAGTAAATACTGGCAGAAACAAAAGAGGGAAGACTTATTATGGCTCACAGTTTCAGGAGTTTCATGACTTGGAAAGTATGTAGAATAGCTCACTTCATGGTGGTGGGAGCTTGTGACAGAGGATAGCTGTTCACATTGTAGTGGGCCAGGAAGTAGCATGCTGGAAGCAGGGATTAAGTAATCTTCAAAGGCCTGCCCCTAGTGACCTAGTTTCACCATACTCCAACTCCTGAAAGTTCCATAGTCTTCCAAAATATCACTGATCAACTGGGGGAATAAGCATTCAAAACATAAGCTTGTAAACCATAAGATGTAAACCATAACAGCTCATTTTCAGATGACTTCCCTAGCTACAGGAAAATATTGAAAGCAGAAGCCAAAACCAGTTAGAAAGTGACTGGGCCAGGAGCAGGCAATAGTGGTATTGGGGTTGGAGGGAGGTATGCAGAGGCGAGGTCATGGAGGGAATAGGCCTTCAGGGCTCCAGGGGACTAGACCAAGGACCTGGATTGGTCTGGGTGCAAAGGATCAGGAAGCGTGGGGAGTCTGGGCCAAGAGGGTACCCCAGAGGTCTGAGGTGCCAATTGAAGAAATGGGCCAGTACCCAAGCTAGGAGGAGAGACAGGATGGGGGGAGCTGGGAAGGTGAATGAGGTTATGGGAGCCAAGGCGCAGTGGATGTGGTCAAACTTACCCAGGAAAGATGCTGGCCTCAGGACTGGGTCTGTTTTTATAGCTAGTTTTAGATGTGATCTGTGTCTTAACAGGAGCCAGCCCACTTGTCTCTTCTACTTGGTATGAGTCTGATAACCCTTCTAAAGTAAAGTCGGAAGATTGCTGAGTAGAAAACAAAGCGTATATGATGTCATTATCAACATTTAAAAATCTTTATACCTTCCCCTACAGTGTCTCCTGCACAGAGCCTTACATCCCAAGGAGCGTCTGCCCCCAATTCAGCAGCACATTTTGAGTATGCTGGATCCTCCCACTGAGGTGACAGCAAAATGTCAGGTTCCTCTCTCTAAAATAAAGACCCTTTTCCCTCTGACTGAGTCCATCAAGAGAAAGGATCAAGTAACTGCTCAGGACATTTTCCAAGACAAGTAAGTACTTGATGTGGTTGCATTTAAGATTTGTGGCAGTCTTGTTGGGGCAGGCTAGAATTATTGGGATTATGGTGTTGCCCAGGGGTTTGTGGAATACTAAGGGAGATGAAGAAGATTTTTACTGCTGCGTGGAAATACTGACTTCTCATAACTGTCTGTTATAGTCATATTTTATCTTCATTGTTTCCTTGGGATTTAGAACTGCCCTCTGGATTGTTGACCTTTGCATCAGCAATCAAATATTTGGTGAATTATACATTGAAAAGCAAAGCACCATGATTGAATACTCAAGCCTCAATTTTCCCCTTTCGTTTACAAATTTTATTACCTTTTTATTTATTTTTGTGTATGTGCACATGCCTGTGCCACAGAGCACGTGTGGAGGTCAGGGAACAACTTTAAGGAGTCTGCTCTCTCCTTCTATCATGTAGGTCCCCAGGACTTGAACTCAGGTTGGCAGTGAGTGCCTTTACCTATGAAACCATCTCTGCAACCCCAGGTTTTTCCTTGCTAAAGTAAGGAGCTTCGGGCAAGAAGAGCAGCCCGAAAGTCAGGAAGTTTCTTTGTTGGGAAGGTTAGGCGTTAAGATTTTTTGAGGGTTTTTTTTTTTTGATCTTTTCGAGACAGGGTCTCCCTGTAGCCCAATCTGGCCTGGAACTCACTATGTAGACCAGGCTGGCCTTGAACTCAGAGATCTGCCAGCCTCTGCATCCTGAGTGTTGGGACCAAATGCATGGGCCAAATGCCCGGTAGGCATTGAGATTTTTGAAGGAAAAGTGAGGAACTGAAAAGTGTTGCCATGTTAGTATGTGGCTGGCATGCTTGGGATGCCGTGTGGGGGCATTTTCAATAAGGATTGCAAATGCTTTTCACGTGATCCTTCAGCCAAGCTTATAAGTGACTAATAAGTTCTTTTCCTCTTCACATTCTGCTCAGAATCTGTATTCATTTCCATACAAATAAAACAAAAGTAAACCTGAAGAAATTGTTCTTGATTCTGAAGAATCATTCGACTATATAACATTAATTGTATGATCAGGCTTCAGTCACCTGGCTGCTGGTGACTGTTTTTGGTAAGCCAGAATAGGCTATTAATTTCTTAATTTCTTATGCTACATTTTGAGATTTGGCTTTAGATCATGATTTTTTTTTCCTTTTTTTTTTTTTTTCTTTTCTCTTTGATTTACCTTTCCACAACTGTCTCTTCATTAGCAAAGTAAGGCTTATTATTCTATAAATACTCCAGTGGAGAAGTGTTAAATAAGTTCCAGAGTCTTTTCTTGGCTCCTATAAGTCATTGATTAGTGCATTACTATCCACATTGAAGAGAAAGCTTTACATTTTTCACAGCTTTCCAGAGATTAACACTCCAAGCTTTGCTACAATCAAATATATATACATATATATTTCTATATATATATATATTTCTATAGATTCTGTCACATGTTCTCCTGTCACCCTGGAGAGATTTACGACTCCTTTTAGTCTATCCTGCTTTCTTCTACACACAGGAAGCCTGTTTCTAAAAATCCTCTTTGTCTCTACCTGTGCCTCTGGATCAGGGCAGGTCAATAGGAGTCTGAGGCCTTTTCTTCCCAAGATGCCTTGCTCTCCTTTCAATGCAACCACAGGGCTATTCTCTTTTGGTATTACAGTTCTAGTTCATGATCTTGATTACCTTCTGGTGTTTTGGGAAAGAAATGGGCCATTTTCTCCTCTTCCTTTGATTAAAATGTAAATTAGCTGGTTAAAAAACACAGCACAGAGACTCAGAAGGCTGCTGTGCTGTGATTTGATCCCTGCTGTGATTACACCTTCAGCTATAGTCTTATCACTCATTCCTCTGGAAGTTTGGGGGTGCTTGGCTTCTTGTTCTCTGCTCCTGGGACTGTGTGTGACACAGCAAGTGATCTGCCTGAGGCCTGGAAATTATCTGACTTATACGTACCTACCCACACTCTGTTCTCGGCCCTTTCTTCTCAGAAGCCTTAATTTTTAAGAACTGCAGAAACAATGGATTTAGCAAATACTCAGTACCCTCTATATTCAAGGATGATTTGATCTCTTTTGTATGGCCCTTAAAACTCTCTGTGCTGGATAGCTTTAGTGTCAACTTGACACACTTGGGTTGAGGGAGCCTCAGTTGGGGAATTGCCTCTATTGGACTGGCCTGTGGCCATGTCTGAGGGGCATCTTCTTGATGAGTGATGTAGGTGGCCCCAGCCCCCTGTGGGGGGTGCCCCCCCTGAGCAGGTGGGCTTGTTTTGCAAAAGAAAGCAGGCTGAGCAGGGCCAGGGGAGCAAGCCAGTAAGCAGCGTTCCTCCTTGGCCTGTGCTCCAGCTCCTGCCTCCAGGTTCCTACCCCCGAGTTCCTACCTTGGGCTCCCTGATGAACTGTGACCTGGGAGATATAAGCTGAATAAACCCTTTCCTCCCCAAGTTGGTATTGGTCAGAGTATTTTGTCACAGCCATGAAGAACAAACTAAGACATTCTCCACCTTTATGAAAAGTTCCATTTGGCCTTAGAGGTTACACTAAGCAGGGGAGAAAGGATTGCCAACACTGAGCTGTGTGTGTGTGTGTGTGTGTGTGTGTAGTCGTCCCTGAACCCAGTTTGTTCATTTCTAGTAGAAATAAGGGCTAGAATTTACAAGTAGTCTCAAACTGGGAATCATTACTTTTCAAACCAGTGGTGTTACTTACTTGATATGATTTTGGTTAAATAATTTTCCTTTTATGAGAATTTCTGCCTCTAAAACTGTCTGGGCAGGCAAGGTGGTTCGGCAGGTAAAGGCTTTTGCCTCAAAAGTCTGGCAACCTGAGATCCATCTCCGGAATTTCAGAAGGTGGTTGTCGAGAAAAACCACTTGACAAAGTTGTCCTCTGACCTCCACATGCACGCTGTAGCCCCCCCCCCCCGCCAATAAAAAATTGTAAACAATCTTATCTCAGGAGATAGTGTAGTAACAAAATCCTAAGTACTAAAGAAAGAACATTGAGCTATTGGGAGGGTAGGTAATAGTTAAAACTCATTGATATAGCAGCATTATGAAAACGTTGCTCATCTGAGAAACTGTCATTCATCTTAGACCTGTTGAATAACTAGTGTCAGTGGTGGTAATTTCTTCACTTCAAATGGGAAAGAGCTCTATTTGCCACTAAGTCTAGTCCCACAGTAGACTACATGTTGCCTCTGTCATCTGAATGCACTGCTTTTCTTAATGTTAACATATGTCCTTGTGATGGAAGTATTATCTCTGGTCATGGAATGACATGAGAACTGGAACATCTGAGGTCCCAGTTGTGTTAACTAATGCATGTGGTCTCCCTGTAGCCCCAGCTGGCCTGGAACTCTTTATATAGACCAGATTAGCCTTGACCTCAGAGATCTGTCTGCTTCTGCCTCCTGAGTGCTGGGATTAAAAGCATGTACCACCATGCCCGACTTTGATTTATTTATTTAAAAAATATTTTATTTATTAAGACTTTGATTTATTTTTGATACTCTGCAGGTAGGTAGTCTAAGGTTTTCTGTTCTTTTCAAGTTGCCTAAGATGACGCCCCATTTACTGTCAGTAGACAGTCTACTTAATATTTAAGACTCAGAGTCTGCCAGTGTGAGTTAGTTCTCTTGCTCTGTGGGACCATAGGTGTCAATAGCTTGTCTTCTGTTTCTTAGGGGTGGCAGAAATATCTGTCTTATAAGGTTGTCATAAGGATTAGTTGAATAATATATGTGGTTTACCTAGAACCCAATATAGTGTGTAGCATGTCATAGAATATAGTGTTTATCAGTAAACAATTTTTTTTACCATGTCCTTAGCACATTAGCAGTAATAACATAATGATATAGTGATGGTTTCACAGAGAGAGTAGAGGCTGTGGGTGGGAACTCAGCTTTCTAGCCCATCTTATTTAAGAACATGTCTATTTTATATGCCTTTCCTGTCCCAGTGGACATAGGGCACTTCATCCTTCATCCCTTCACTGTTCCTTCACCTGGGGTCTGAACTCCCATCAGCTGACTAATCTGTTACCGTAGTCGCTAATAGTGTCTTCTTTCCTCTGTATATTTTGTCTCTCTCCTCCCTCTCTTCCCTCTCATCCCTCCTCATCCTCCTCACATCAACATTTCTTTTCATCTAAAATGCCCAGGTTCTTCCTTCCTGTTGCTGCTTGTTGCTATGACTACTCTAATCCTGTCTTTCCTTTCCAAGCTAGGCTCATTGAAGAACAGTCTACATGGCTGCTGCTCTCAGCTTATTCTCTTCCACCGTAACTGCTTCTCTGAAAATGGTCTTTCAAGAGATAGAACTGCTAAATTCTCTCGGCTTTGCAGTTCTTTTCATTAGTGACCTTTCTCTTTGTAGCATTTGACAGTGTCACTTATTTTTTTCCTCTTGAAACTTGTGTATCTTGCTTAACTTCAACTTCTCCAGATTTTTCTTCCTAATCTTTGGCAACTTGTTGACAGATTGACAGATTCCTCTGGGGTTCTCCTCTCTCTGCACCAGCCTTACGTGTTGATGTGTAGTCCCTTGTCTATAGGACTTATCCTCAGAGCAGCTCACATTGACTGGATACAGCATGATACTGAACGCCTTACTGGCATTACCTGTTTAGATCCTCTGTGCCTGCCTATGAAGTAGGTGGTTTTGTTTGTGCTGTCTTACAGCTGAGAAGGCTGGGGATTAAAGAAAAGGAGCAAACTTGCTCGAGATCTAGTGGTGAGTGTTGGAGTAAGCATTTACATGTGAGTGGTCTAAATCCAGAGCTTACACAGTTAGCCATGCCATTTTGCCTTAGCAATGCAGGTCTCACAACCTTTGCTAATTTCATACACAGGGCTTCAGAAACCACTGAATATCTGTCCGAAGCCCAAATTTTCATCGTGTCTAATAGTTGGTGTCTGTAGTTATCTCAAGTTCAGTTATGCAGAATAAGTTCATAGTCTTTTTCCTAGCATGCTTCTTCTAAACGCCTCTTCATGCTGTTAC